TAAGGGTGGTGTGTGTGTGTGTGTGTGTGTGTGAGAGGGGTAAGGGGTGTGTGTGGGGGGGGTAAGGGTGGGGTCTGTGTGTGTGTGTGTATGTGAGGGGTAAGGGTGGTGTGTGTGTGTGTGTGTGTGTGTGTGTGTGTGAGGGGTAAGGGGTGTGTGAGAGGGGTAAGGGTGGTGTGTGTGTGTGTGTGTGTGTGTGTGTGAGGGGTAAGGGTGATGTGTGTGTGTGTGTGTGTGTGTGTGAGGGGTAAGGGGTGTGTGGGGGGGGTAAGGGTGGGGTGTGTGTGTGTGTGTGTATGTGAGGGGTAAGGGTGGTGTGTGTGTGTGTGTGTGTGTGTATGTGAGGGGTAAGGGTGATGTGTGTGTGTGTGTGTGTGTGTGTGTGTGAGGGGTAAGGGGTATGTGGGGGGGGTAAGGGTGGTGTGTGTGTGTGTGTGTGTGTGTGAGGGGTAAGGGGGTGTGTGTGTGTGAGGGGTAAGGGTGGTGTGTGTGTGTGTGTGTGTGTGTGTGTGTGTGAGGGGTAAGGGTGGGGTGTGTGTGTGTGTGTGAGAGGGGTAAGGGTGCAGTGTGTGTGTGTGTGTGTGAGCGAGAGAGGGGTAAGGGTGGGGTGTGTGTGTGTGTGTGTGTGAGACGGGTAAGGGTGCAGTGTGTGTGTGTGTGTGTGTGTGTGTGTGTGTGAGCGAGAGAGGGGTAAGGGTGGGGTGTGTGTGTGTGTGTGTGTGTGTGTGTGTGAGGGGTAAGGGGTGTGTGTGTGTGTGTGTGAGACGGGTAAGGGTGCAGTGTGTGTGTGTGTGTGTGTGTGTGAGCGAGAGAGGGGTAAGGGTGGTGTGTGTGTGTGTGTGTGTGTGTGTGTGAGGGGTAAGGGGTGTGTGTGTGTGTGTGTGAGGGGTAAGGGGTGTGTGTGTGTGTGTGTGTGTGTGAGACGGGTAAGGGTGCAGTGTGTGTGTGTGTGTGTGTGTGTGTGTGTGTGAGCGAGAGAGGGGTAAGGGTGGGGTGTGTGTGTGTGTGTGAGACGGGTAAGGGTGCAGTGTGTGTGTGTGTGTGTGTGTGTGTGTGTGTGTGAGCGAGAGAGGGGTAAGGGTGGGTGTGTGTGTGTGTGTGTGTGTGTGTGTGTGAGGGGTAAGGGGTGTGTGTGTGTGTGTGTGAGACGGGTAAGGGTGCAGTGTGTGTGTGTGTGTGTGTGTGTGAGCGAGAGAGGGGTAAGGGTGGTGTGTGTGTGTGTGTGTGTGTGTGTGTGTGTGAGGGGTAAGGGGTGTGTGTGTGTGTGTGTGAGGGGTAAGGGGTGTGTGTGTGTGTGTGTGTGTGTGTGAGACGGGTAAGGGTGCAGTGTGTGTGTGTGTGTGTGTGTGTGTGTGTGAGCGAGAGAGGGGTAAGGGTGGTGTGTGTGTGCGTGTGAGGGGTAAGGGCTGTGTGTGTGTGTGTGAGACAGGTAAGGGTGCAGTGTGTGTGTGTGTGCGTGTGAGGGGTAAGGGGTGTGTGTGTGTGTGTGTGAGACAGGTAAGGGTGCAGTGTGTGTGTGTGTGAGCGAGAGAGGGGTAAGGGTGGGGTGTGTGTGTGTGTGTGTGTGTGTGTGTGTGAGGGGTAAGGGTGTGTGTGTGTGTGTGTGTGAGGGGTAAGGGTGTGTGTGTGTGTGAGGGGTAAGGGTGGTGTGTGTGTGTGTGTGTGTGTGTGTGTGTGAGAGGGGTAAGGGTGGGGTGTGTGTGTGTGTGTGAGAGGTAAGGGTGTGTGTGTGTGTGAGGGGTAAGGGTGGTGTGTGTGTGTGTGTGTGAGAGGGGTAAGGGTGGGGTGTTTGTGAGGGGTAAGGGTGGGGTGTGTGTGTGTGTGTGTGTGAGGGGTAAGGGTGTGTGTGTGTGTGAGGGGTAAGGGTGTGTGTGTGGGGGGCGGGGGGTAAGGGTGGTGTGTGTGTGTGTGTGTGTGTGAGGGGTAAGGGTGTGTGTGTGTGGGGCGGGGGGTAAGGGTGGTGTGTGTGTGTGTGTGTGTGTGTGAGGGGTAAGGGTGGTGTGTGTGTGTGTGTGTGTGTGTGAGGGGTAAGGGTGTGTGTGTGTGTGAGGGGTAAGGGTGGTGTGTGTGTGTGTGTGAGGGGTAAGGGGTGTGTGGGGGGGTAAGGGTGGTGTGTGTGTGTGTGTGAGGGGTAAGGGGTGTGTGGGGGGGTAAGGGTGGTGTGTGTGTGTGTGTGAGGGGTAAGGGGTGTGTGGGGGGGTAAGGGTGGTGTGTGTGTGTGTGTGAGGGGTAAGGGTGTGTGTGTGTGTGAGGGGTAAGGGTGTGTGTGTGTGTGAGGGGTAAGGGTGGTGTGTGTGTGTGTGTGTGTGTGTGTGTGTGTGTGAGGGGTAAGGGGTGTGGGGGGGGGTAAGGGTGGGGTGTGTGTGTGTGTGTGTATGTGAGGGGTAAGGGTGGTGTGTGTGTGTGTGTGTGTGAGGGGTAAGGGGGTGTGTGTATGTGAGGGGTAAGGGTGGTGTGTGTGTGTGTGTGTGTGTATGTGAGGGGTAAGGGTGGTGTGTGTGTGTGTGTGTGTGTGTGAGAGGGGTAAGGGGTGTGTGGGGGGGGGTAAGGGTGGGGTGTGTGTGTGTGTGTGTATGTGAGGGGTAAGGGTGGTGTGTGTGTGTGTGTGTGTGTGTGTGTGTGTGAGGGGTAAGGGTGGTGTGTGTGTGTGTGTGTGTGTGTGTGAGGGGTAAGGGTGGTGTGTGTGTGTGTGTGTGTGTGTGTGTGTGAGGGGTAAGGGGTGTGTGGGGGGGGTAAGGGTGGGGTGTGTGTGTGTGTGTGTGTATGTGAGGGGTAAGGGTGGTGTGTGTGTGTGTGTGTGTGAGGGGTAAGGGGGTGTGTGTGTGTGAGGGGTAAGGGTGGTGTGTGTGTGTGTGTGTGTGTATGTGAGGGGTAAGGGTGGTGTGTGTGTGTGTGTGTGTGTGTGAGAGGGGTAAGGGGTGTGTGTGGGGGGGGTAAGGGTGGGGTCTGTGTGTGTGTGTGTATGTGAGGGGTAAGGGTGGTGTGTGTGTGTGTGTGTGTGTGTGTGTGTGTGTGTGTGTGAGGGGTAAGGGGTGTGTGAGAGGGGTAAGGGTGGTGTGTGTGTGTGTGTGTGTGTGTGTGTGTGAGGGGTAAGGGTGATGTGTGTGTGTGTGTGTGTGTGTGTGTGAGGGGTAAGGGGTGTGTGGGGGGGGTAAGGGTGGGGTGTGTGTGTGTGTGTATGTGAGGGGTAAGGGTGGTGTGTGTGTGTGTGTGTGTGTGTGTGTATGTGAGGGGTAAGGGTGATGTGTGTGTGTGTGTGTGTGTGTGTGTGAGGGGTAAGGGGTATGTGGGGGGGGTAAGGGTGGTGTGTGTGTGTGTGTGTGTGTGTGAGGGGTAAGGGGGTGTGTGTGTGTGAGGGGTAAGGGTGGTGTGTGTGTGTGTGTGTGTGTGTGTGTGTGTGTGAGGGGTAAGGGTGGGGTGTGTGTGTGTGTGTGAGAGGGGTAAGGGTGCAGTGTGTGTGTGTGTGTGTGAGCGAGAGAGGGGTAAGGGTGGGGTGTGTGTGTGTGTGTGTGTGAGACGGGTAAGGGTGCAGTGTGTGTGTGTGTGTGTGTGTGTGTGTGTGTGAGCGAGAGAGGGGTAAGGGTGGGGTGTGTGTGTGTGTGTGTGTGTGTGTGTGTGTGAGGGGTAAGGGGTGTGTGTGTGTGTGTGTGAGACGGGTAAGGGTGCAGTGTGTGTGTGTGTGTGTGTGTGTGAGCGAGAGAGGGGTAAGGGTGGTGTGTGTGTGTGTGTGTGTGTGTGTGTGTGTGAGGGGTAAGGGGTGTGTGTGTGTGTGTGTGTGAGGGGTAAGGGGTGTGTGTGTGTGTGTGTGTGTGTGTGAGACGGGTAAGGGTGCAGTGTGTGTGTGTGTGTGTGTGTGTGTGTGTGTGTGAGCGAGAGAGGGGTAAGGGTGGTGTGTGTGTGTGTGTGAGGGGTAAGGGCTGTGTGTGTGTGTGTGAGACAGGTAAGGGTGCAGTGTGTGTGTGTGTGCGTGTGAGGGGTAAGGGGTGTGTGTGTGTGTGTGTGAGACAGGTAAGGGTGCAGTGTGTGTGTGTGTGAGCGAGAGAGGGGTAAGGGTGGTGTGTGTGTGTGTGTGTGTGTGTGTGTGTGTGTGAGAGAGAGAGAGGGGTAAGGGTGGGGGTGGGGCAGAGAGAGAAGGGAGACAGAGGCTCAAGACCCCTTGACTATCAGACCTAAATAAAGGAGAAAAGTAAGCCTTGGGGGAGCTGAGGACCATAGGGGTCTAAGCCAGCGGTTCTAACTGGGGGACAAATGTGCCCCCAGGGGGACCTTGGCAATGCCTGGAGGCATCCTATGTTGTCACCATGCGGGGGGGGGGGGGGTGGTGGACGCGGCTGCACCCAGCAGCTGCTGCTAAACACCCCACAGTGCAGGGAGGGGCCCTCAACAAAGCGCACTCCGCCCGCTGTCAGCAGTGCAGGGGCCTCCCTCCCCGCCCGCCTCCTGGTCTATAAACTCAGATTCTCAACTCCAATCTCTCTCTCCTCCCCGTCTCCCCACGCCCCCTGCGCCCCCCTCCTTGCCGCCCTTGGTCCCTGTCTCCCCTTGGCCTCTCCCTCTGCCCTCTCCCTCGCCTGCAACGTTGGTTTCTTCTCCCTCCATCCCATCTCTCCTCTGGTTTTTGTCCGTCCCTCTCATTTCTTCACACCCCTGTCCACTTTCCCTCTCTTTCCTCCCCATTCATCACTCTCTGACCCTCTCTGCCGGTGATCGTTGCTGTTCCCCTTCCGTGGCATCGGGGCATTCTTCTGTGGCTCCCCCATCACCGACCACTGCCCCCTGGGCCTGGCCAACCCCGGGCCCATGCACGTCCCCCCCTTTTCCGCCTCCTGGCTCCTGCCTGCCCCCCTCCCCGTCCTTCTATCTTCCCTTGGGCTGCCTTCCTCGTCCTTTCCCGCCACCATCTCCACATTTCTGCACCTCTGGCGCCTTTCTTCCGTCCACCGTTCCAGCCTCGGTTCTCCCCCCAGCCTGGCTGCCCCGGCCGAGCTCCTGCGCTCCCCATGCCGGCCCTCCTGCTCCTCGGGACCCTCCTGTTCCTGGCCTCGACTACCGGCCAGGCTGGGGCGCGTCCGTCCAACGCCACGAGCGCCGAGCCCCCGGGTCCGCTGCCCGCCCTGCTGGCGCACCTGCGGCGCCTGACCGGGGCGCTGACGGGCGGCGGGGGCGCAGCGGGCCCGGGGGCCAACGGCACAAGAGCCAGCACCCCGAGCTCGGCGGGTGCTGCCGCACGGGCGCCCCCTCCGGCTGAGCTGTGCCACGGCTACTACGACGTCATGGGCCAGTACGACGCCACCTTCAACTGCAGCACCGGCTCCTACCGCTTCTGCTGCGGCACCTGCCACTACCGCTTCTGCTGCGAGCACCGCCACATGCGCCTGGCGCAGGCCTCCTGCTCCAACTACGACACGCCGCGCTGGGCCACCACGCCGCCGCCGCTGGCCGGGGGCGCCGGGGGCGCTGGGGGTGCGGGCGGGGGACCTGGGCCCGGCCAGGCCGGGTGGCTGGAAGGGGGCCGGGCGGGGGGCGCTGGGGGGCGTGGGGGCGAGGGCCCAGGGGGCAGCACAGCCTACGTGGTGTGCGGGGTCATCAGCTTCGCCCTGGCCGTGGGCGTCGGCGCCAAAGTGGCCTTCAGCAAGGCGTCCCGTGCGCCCAGGGCGCATCGGGAGATCAACGTGCCCAGGTGTGTGTACTCTGGGGCCGGGGGGGGGCCGGGGGGAGCCTGGGGGCGGGGCTTGGGCAGCGGGGGCGGGGCCAGCATGGAGTGAGGCGGGTGGGCCCGCATGGCCAGAGGCTGAGGCAGCCTCCCGGAGCGCAGAAGCCTTGAGGAGATGGGCGAGGCCTGAGAATACAGGCCTGATTTAAGTGACAGGCTAGGGAGTGACGAGGTAGGCTCAGGTCTTCATTCAGCAAATATTTCTTGAGCGCTTTCTGTGAGCCAGGAGCTGGGGGGCACAGCCGTGAACAAGACAAAATCCCTGCACTGACGAGTAAACCTAGTTCTAATCCCAGGTCAGCCGCCTGCGGGCTGTGTGACCCGGGGAAAGTTGCTTAACCTTTCTGTGCCTGTTTCCTGTGTCTGTACAGTGGGGCTAATTATTGTTCCCCACCCATTCGGACAGCAACGAAGATTAACTGGGTTGATTCTTGTCCAGTCCTGGCACATGGTAAGCCCTCAATAAATGCTGGCTACCGTCATCATTAAGACAGTAAGCAAGCAGTGTTAGTTGCTCAGACGTGTCCAACTTTTTGGGACCCCATGGACCATAGCCCACCAGGCTCCTCTGTCCATGGGATTCTCCAGGCAAGAATACTGGAGTGGGTTGCCATTTCCTTCTCCAGGGGATCTTCCCCACCCAGGGATCGAGCCTGGTCTCCTGCATCACAGTCAGATTCTCTACCATTCGAGCCAGCAGGGAGGCTACACACAGGGGCAATGTACTTTCAGATACTGATAACTGCTGTGAAGAAAAGCAGTGTGACGAGCTGTGGGTGGGCGGGGAGGTGCTGTTTTACATGAAGCGGTCAGGAAAGGCCTCTCTGAGCAGAGACCTGGAGGACAAGATAGAACCAAGCAGATATCTATGGGAAGGGCACTCCAGGCAGAGGAAGCTGTAAATGCAAAGGCCCTGGGGTGGCGTGTTGGGAGGACTGTGAGGAGGCCCACGACACTGGGCGCAGTGCGTGAGGAGGAGGTGGACAGGAGCGGGCAGAGGTGGGCTCAGCCTCAGTGTGACGGGGGAGCCATGGGAGTGTCCTGAGCTCCGTGTGAGCCACCTGACCCCTGGGCTGTGCATCTAAACTTAGACTGCAGGGGACAAGGGCAGAAACGGGCAGGTCAGGTGGATCCATGGCGAGAGACAGGCTGCTAGCCGCAGAGGTGCTGACAAATGGTTGGGATATATTTTGGAGAGCGAATCCAGGGGGTTACTAAGGGCCATTGAGGAAAGACAAAGAGTCAAGGATGATTTAAGGTTTTATCGCTATGGAGAAGGCAGCGAAAGAAACAGGAGTAAGGTCCCAGGTTCGGGGTAGGGACAGGGCCACAGAGAGGACGCTGTGGGAGGGCCCGCACAAGGGGTAGGGTCCAGATGATTTGGGGAAGTGAGTCGGAGGGACCTTGAGGCAGGCGGCGCTCAGACTGACGCTAGCAAGGGGCGTGGCCAAAGGCGACAAGCCGAGTTGAACTAAGATACCCGCAAAGGTGAGACGGGGAGGGGAAAGAGGCCTGCGCCCTCCCTCTCTCCATCCCTACCCGCAGCCCCCTGGCCACTGACCATCCCTCTGCCCCTTCCAGGGCTCTGGTGGACATTCTGAGACATCAGGCGGGGCCCGGGGCCCGCCCAGACCGGGCACGAAGCAGCTCCCTAACCCCAGGGGTCGGAGGCCCCGACAGCATGCCGCCGAGGACGCCCAAGAACCTCTACAACCCCGTGAAGCCCTCCAATCTCGGTGAGCGAGAGGCGGGGCTGCGGCCGCCCTCGGCCCCGCCTCACCCCTGTGGCCCCGCCTCCCACCGCCCCGGCCTCTGCCTTCCCCAACCGTCCCGGCGGAGCCCCGTTCCGGACACTGCTCCGGACGCTGCAGTGAGCCCGCCCCACTCCCTGCCCTTCCGTGGGCACCCTAGGTGGGCACCGCGGGCGCGTCGACGGTTTCCCAAGCCACTGCACTTGAGAAACTCATGTCAGACCACCCAGCAGCCGGTGACACAAAAGGACGCAGGTAGCAACTGAGTTAGAATGCCTGGAGCCAGACGCCTGGTTAGAATCCTCATTCTACCACTGTGACCTGGGGCGACCGGCTTCAGTCTCTGGGCCTCATTTTCCCCACCCATAAAATGCGCATCAGAGGAGGGCTCGCCTCACGTCACCGCCGTTCTCACCGGGCTTGGCCAGAGCATCGGCGGAGAGGTCCAGGAGGCTGGGAGAGGGCCAGAGGGTCTCGTCTGAAGAGGCGGAGGAGGCGCCCTCAGAAAGAGATCTCGGGGCAGTGGCCAGGGGACGGAGGGGAGTTTCTTGTGCAGGGGGAGCTCAGCTTGTGAGGCGCCCAGAGCTGAGGCTGGGTAGAGGGTGGGCAGGCACCTCAGGAAGGGGCTCGAGTGCCAGGCCGATCTGAGTAGCTCTGTGTCCCGAGGGCAATGGGGAGCCAGGGAGGAGTTTAGAGCCGGAGAGGAGCAGAGTCACGAGTGGGCAGGACTCTGGAACCCGTGTGCAGGGAAAGAAATGAGAGGAGGAAGGATCCGGAGGAGGCTGGGACGCGGGTCCAGGCAGTAAAGGACGCGGATTGATCTGAGGTCAGGAACGCAGAAGAGGAGAGGGCTTTGAATACTAGTGATGAAGAAGAGACATTTGACCTGGATCTGGAGGGATGAGCAGGGAGCAGGTCTTCAGGCAAAGAAGGGGAGGAAGGGGTTCAACGCGCGGAGAACAGCGGAACAGCCCGTGCACAGGCCCTGTGGCAGAACTAAGCTCGACCACTGGGCATCAGAGGGAAGCAGGGCTTGAGGGGAGGGGTGAAAGATGAGACTGGGGGCAGGTCGGAAGGCCTCAGAGCCGCCCCCAGCTTAGACTGTGTCCCATCGGTGATGGTGAGACCGGCGGAGGGTTTCGAGCAGCAGAGGGGTGTGTGTGTTTGGTGGTGGGGGGGGGGTGCACCGCGGAGAGGCTGGTCTTGGAGCTGGGCTGAAGGCTGGTTTGACGATCCAGGAGGGAGAAGGAAGCCAGGGCAGAGATTGCAGAGCCGGGGGCCGAGAAGACGCACGCAGGGAGCCCTGCACACGGACCGGGACGGGGCGCCAGCTGGGCGCCGGCAGCGGTAGTGACGCCCTCCCCTCTTGGTCCCCACAGATAACCTGCACCACAACTACCTGCACCTCAACGTCAATAGCCCCAAACACCACGCTGCCACTCTGGGTACGCGCCCGGGCGGGCCGGGCTCCTTCCCTCCCCACCTGCACTGAGTCGGAGCCAGGTACCCTGATAGAGCAGGGGTGAGGCCGTGGGAGCCTCTCCTCACGGACCAGCCGAGTAACCCAGGAGCGGTCCGCCGGAAGCGGCCTGGAGTGCGCCCCTCCTGCTTGGAGCCGGGCACAGAGGACGTGCCGGCTGCGCCTCCTGCTCCTTCCCCAGCCAGGAGCTCCCGAGGGGGCGTGGGGGGAGTGAGCAGAGGGAGCTTGGACTGCTGCAGCTTTGAGAGGCTGGAACCCCAGGCTGCTAAAACTCCAGGGGGGCGGGGGACGGAACCGCGGGGTCCGAGGGAGCAGGCCCGGACTGACCCCGGCCGTGCCCTCTGCCCCAGACTGGCCTGGACTGACCCCGGCCGTGCCCTCTGCCCCAGACTGGCGGGCCGTCCCGCCGCCCAGCCCCTCCTTGCGCTACTCCACGCTATCCTGCTCGCGGTCCTTCCACAACCTCTCGCATCTGCCCCCGTCCTACGAGGCCGCCGTGAAATCGGAGCTCAACCGCTACTCCTCTCTCAAGAGGCTCGGTGAGTCCCGGGAGAGGGGTGGGGGTGGTGGGGGGGGGTGGTGGGCTGCTTGGGCGGCGGGGCGGGGGCAGGGCCTGTGTTCAGGACCCTGGACAGTGGCCCGAGCGCCTTCTCAAGCTCTCGATTCCCCGCTTAGGGTTTTTTTCCCTCCAAGTGGACTTCCAGAAAGACCCAAAGTCATTCTGCATCGCAATGAACTACTTGGGGTGCTTTTCATAAATGCAAATCCATGGTCCTCCCCGCAAGATCTATTGCATTCATCAGGACTTGTGTTTGCAATTAATAGGAACACAATTTAAAAAAAAACAAAGGTAACTATGCTGAAACAGAACTTTTAAAAAAAAAAAAAAGAGCAACTACATTGGCTTGATAAGGCAAATTCTGTGTGCGGCCATGAACAGTGGGCTGGCTTCATTCTCAGAAAGAATCTCCCCCTGTGATGGCAAAGACTGCCCTGAGAATCTTCAGGGCAGTTCTTACCAGAAGAGTCTCTCCCAGTGATTGCAGCAAAAATCCCAAGCCTGAACCCCACTGACCAAGAAAGGGTCATGAGCTTGCCCCAAAACCAATCACCATGACTCTGATTGGACATTCCTGGTAGTGGAGGAGGCTTCACACATTTTAAACTGAGATTCACAGTCAGAAAGGGTTTTTATACTGTGTCTCATAAAACCTACGTACACCGGCAATTTTTTAATTACAGCGAAGTTTTGAAACTTGCTATTGTGGACATTTTAAAACATGTTCAAGAGCAGACAAACTGTAAAATGAACCCCTAGGTTCCTATCACCCAGCTTTAACATTTTCTTATTCCCTCCTTCCCCCACCCCATCTTTTGCTGGATTATTTCAAAACAAATCCCAGATATTATGTCACTTCAACCACTGATATTTCAATCACACACACAGCTGAAACAAAAATCGTATTATTGGTACTCACCCTTATTCTCTTGATGGGCTTCCCTGGTGGCTCAGATGGTAAAACGTCTGCCTGCAGTGCGGGAGACCCGGGTTCAATCCCTGGGTCGGGAAGATCCCCTGGAGAAGGAAATGGCAACCCACTCCAGTACTCTTGCCTGGAAAATTCCATGGACTGAGGAGCCTTGTGGGCTACGGTCCATGGGATCACAAAGAGCCGGACATGACTGACCAACTTCACTTTTTTCTTATTCTCTTATTGTGGGAAACTTTCTAATAATTTTCTATCCTATTTCATTTCACAAAATACTGTCTCTACCCACAACATTGACTTTACAATCCACAAATGGGTCGAATCAAAAAATACTTTCTACAGGATGAAAGAGAAGGAAGTTTCCTCAAAAAGCAAGAGCTGGGTTCTACACACAAAAGAAAGGATATACCCAAGCGATTTAAAAAACAACCCCCCTCCTCATCTACGGCCCCATCACCACAGGCTGGGCCTGGGAACATGCATTCTTCTAGCCTGACTGTTCCCACTGGTTAAAACCGTGCCCCTGCCCAGGCTAATGCCCAGGAAGTTCCCGGTGATGTCTGGAGTTCTCCGGGGCGGGAGCCCAGTGCGGGGAGAGGCAGAGGGTTGGCCCTGGGAGGCGGGCAGCTTCTGGGCCGGCTGGGGCCCCAGTTCTGTGGTTTACCCCTTCTCCCGCAGCCGAGAAGGACCTGGACGAGGCCTACCTGAAGCGCCGGCACCTGGCAGAGGTGCCCCGCGGGACGCTGCCCCTGCACGCGCTGCGGCGACCCGGCACGGGGGGTGGCTACCGCATGGATGCCTGGGGCAGCCCCGAGGAGCTGGGCCTGGCCCCTGCGCCCCACCCGCGGCGCGTCATGTCCCAGGAGCACCTGCTGGGTGACGGGGGCCGGTCGCGCTACGAGTTTACGCTGCCGCGTGCGCGCCTTGTGTCCCAGGAGCACCTGCTCCTGTCGTCACCCGAGGCCCTGCGCCAGAGCCGCGAGCACCTCCTGTCACCCCCGCGCAGCCCCGCGCTGCCCCCCGAGCCCGCCGCGCGTGCCAGCTTGGCCGCCTCGCACTCCAACCTGCTGCTGGGGCCCGGGGGCCCCCCCACGCCACTGCACGGCCTACCACCGCCGCCTGGCCTGCACGCACACCACCACCACGCCCTGCACGGCTCGCCGCAGCCTGCCTGGATGTCAGACGCCGGCGGGGGTGGGGGCACGCTGGCCCGCAGGCCGCCCTTCCAGCGCCAGGGCACGCTGGAGCAGCTGCAGTTCATCCCCGGCCATCACCTGCCCCAACACCTCCGCACGGCCAGCAAGAACGAGGTGACTGTCTGAGCGTCCGAGGCCGGGCCAGGGGCTGGGGCGCTGTGGCCTGGGGCCCCCATCCCAGCCTGCACCCCCCGCCACACCCGGCTGGGGGGCCTGGAATCCAGACCTGCGGGGGCCAGGAGGGCTACCTCCAAGGACACAGTTTTGGACGAAATCCTCACGAGAGAAAAAGTTTCCTTCTGCAGTGTCACAGCAGATAAGATCCTCCTCCTACATCACAATCTGAGGCAGGGCCTCCTTCCCATGACGTCATCACAGAGGAAGAGGCCTGTATGTGAGGTCATCAGTAGCAAAAACGTCTGTGTTTATCACAGGGACAAACCCTGCTTCCCATGAGGTCATCTCAGAGGAACAGGCCCACTACAGTCATCGCTGGAGGCCGTGTCTATGCTCCATGGTGTCATCACGAAGACCTCCCTCCGGTGACGTTGTAAGAGGAACAATGCCTTGTCCCATGACATCATCCCAAGAGACCAGGAGCCCTCCTGTGACGTCACTGCACAGATAAGTCTCACCCTCTGATGTCGTCTCTGGCACCAAAAGGCCTCTGTGGACATCATCGTCACCAGGAAAATATTTCCTTCCAAAGAAGATGCCTCTGTCTATGAAGCCATGCCTGCAGACAAAGCCATCTTCCCGGGATGAGCCACAAGGGAAAGCGCCTCGCCAGCCACGTCCTCAGGAGACACAAGGTCTCCTTTCTAGGACGTCACCACGGGGGCTCACTTCCTTCCGGTGACACCGTTGCCAGAGGAGCTGGCTTGCCCTGTGATGTCATCCCCAGATACGGGCAGCCCACTCTGGGGCCCTCTCCAGGGTGAGGCCCTTCTGCACTGCAGCACCGGCTCTGCCTGCGCAGAGATTGCATCCCCATGAGACACATCCACTGCGATTGCCCAGCACCCACAAGGCGGGCTGCCCAGAGCCCATGGCTAACCTGGGGGCCACCAAGGAAGGGCCCGGTCCTGAGATGCTACCCCGGGCGTCATCGCTGGGCGGCTGCCCTGTGGGGAAGCTGCAGCCAGAGGTGACAACCCACCCCTGGCGCACCGGAGCTGTGACGTCACCACCGGAGACAGTGCCTGCTCTGGAAGGCCATTCCTTGTGACGGTGTCACCAGAGTTTCTGCCTTGCCCCACCATGACTTAGCTTGGTTGCTCTCTCCCCTGACCCCGGGGACAAGCCGTGTGGGATTTCCCCCAGACCCTCCCCGCAACTGAGGCTGGGCCATGGGTCCTCCCCCCGTGCAGGGATGTCACCTCCTGGTGACTCCTGGAGTACAGCACGCACTCCCAGACTGGCTTCTGCTCCCAAGGAGGCTGCTCCACTGCTCCTGGAGTCCTGGGGACTCTCAGGCAGCCCCATGTCTCTCTGCCACAGCTACAGACATCATCACCTCCGCAAACAAAGTCCTGGCCTCCTACTGGGGTGGGGGTGGGGTGCGCCTGCTATTGATGTCATCGGCACCACAAGACTTCCACCACTCATGGCGGCACTGCACCTGGGGTCCCGTGGTAACCATGCCTGATGATGATGTCATTTCCCAGTTTTCCCTATGATCTACGCATATTCATCTCCCAGGATTCACCACAGCTGATGATGTCATTATCCCCCAGAACCCACCATGACCCATGATGTCATCACCTTCCAGAACCCAGTATGGCCGATGGTGACATCTTCTACCAGGATCCACTAGGACTGATGATGCCCCAGTTCCCCACAGACCCCCACAATTGTGCTGTCATCATCTCCCAGGATCCACTCCAACCGTGATATCTTCATGCCCCAGGATCCACCTTAGCCATGGTGTCATCATCTCCCAGGATCCAATTCAGCCATGATGTCACCAGCCCCCAGCATCCATGAGAGTAGATGGTGTCCCGGGACCCATGACATCCAACATCATCATCTCCCGGGATCCACTTCAGGCTTGGTACCGTCATCCACTGGGATCCACCATAACTGTGACATCGTCATCTCCCAGGATCCAGGACACCCAATTATGTCACTTATCAGGACCCACGTCGACCATGTACCATCACCTTCCAAGACCCATCCCCTTGGGAGCCAAGTACTCTGACAGCTGTATTTCAATTGTCTTTGGGGTCACCTATAGTCGTTCCCTTTAGAGGAAACAGCACAATACATATTCTTTTCCCATTCCCTCAAAAAGAGCGTGGGGTGGGGCTCCCTCTGATGACATCATCACTCCAGCCCTTCTTAGTGATGTCACTGCCTTGCTCCTGACTCAGGCTGATGCCTGCCTCAACCCGACCACAGACTTGGCCTTGCTCAGTCCCCCCTCACCCCTGGGTGAGGGCACCAGTTCCTCCAGATAACTGCCCTTCACCCAACCATCTGATCGGTGACAGGGTCAACACAGAGACCTCTTACCATCCCCAGAGGGAGGACTTCCAGTCCTTGGGTAATGTCACTGCCCCAGTCCCATCCCTGGCACTGGCGCCACATGCCATAGGCTTAGGCCAAACCCTCCCTGGAGATGCCCGGGGCCAGGCCAACAGCTGCTGACCTCCCCAGGACCTTCAGTGGTGTCTGCCTCTGCCTTGGTCCCTCGTCCCGGGAGGGCACGCCTGGAGCGCTGCGCCCGCCGCCCGTGCCACCATGCCACCTGCGGGGCAGGCTGCGCTCTGCACCTCCCCAGGATGGCAGATGAGCGCCCTGCTCTCCCTTGCCCCCTCACCCTCTGGGGAGTCCCCAACACCCAACGCACAATTTTCCCCAAATTCTCTTTGTACATAGCCATGTTTGGGGGCGGCCATTCCCCCACTCTTAAAGGGCTACACGCCCCCTCTCCCAGCCCTGAGGGCCAGGTCGGGGGGCCTCTTCTCCCTCCTCTGGGCCGCCCCCCCTTCCTCTCCTCTCTCCCCACAAATAACGGCACCTCAGCTCATCCCTTCGCATCGGGAGCCTGGGGCAGATAATTGGCCCTCAACTCCCACCATGGTCCCCTGGAGGAGGAAATGGCAACCCCCTCCAGAGCTCTTGCCTGGGAAGCCCCATGGACAGAGGAGCCTGGAGGGCGATACTCCATGGGGTCTCAAAGAGTCGGACACGCCTGAGCAACTGAGCACACAGAACATGGCTCCACCACACAGGACACTGAGGGCCTACCCCCAATCTACCAGGGCCCCAGTGGCAGTTTTTAAGCCCCCTGCTTGCAGCTGCTCCCTGCAAGGGCCTCAACACGCCCAGGGTCCCTGTGGCAGACTGTGACTTCCCCCAAAAGGAGCCGGCTTGAGCTCCCCTAGAGCCCCGCCCCTCCACTCACCACCCCCAAGGAGCACTCAGCCTTCTCCAGCCCCCACATCTGCAGGGTTTGGGGCCTCTCATCTTCTCTTCACCCCCTCCCCTTCCACTCGCTCTTTCCTGGCCTGGATTCCAGGCATCTCGCCCCGCCGCCGCCCACCACACATCACTCACTCGACACAGGCTGCCTGACCTGGGGCCTTGACCTCTTATCTCAAATAAGCCATAGTGGGGAGAGGTCTCGAGGTGGGTGAGGAAGTGGGCCTGTCCTGCCAGACCCCCTTTATGCTTCCAGAGCTGAGACCTCACCATCTGAGTCTCCCCCCTGCCCTGCCGCCTTGTACATCATACAGGCTTGTGCGCGCACGTGTGTGTACACACACACACACACACACACACACCCATTCCAGTGAGGGGACAGTGGAGGGCAGTATGGAGAGAAGATAATCCATTCTGGACCAAAAGAACTTCCGAAGCTCTGCCTGCTTCCTTACCCCTCCCCACCCTACTCCTCCACCCAACACCGGACTCTTGCCCCAGCTCCTTGGTGAGGACAGCCAGCCAAGCTCCACTTGGTATTTTCTCTTTTTTTAAATAAAGAGATGTTTTCCTGATCCCCAGCCTCAGGTTTACTGTGGGGAAAGGATGGGCTTCCACCTCCGCATGTGCCGGTCACTGGGGAGTCCCGTGGCCGAAGCAGGGTGAGCGTCTAAGTGTCTTTGCAGCTGGGTGGTCAGGAGTCGGGCATGGGGCTGCCCTGCTAGGTGCTTTTAAATCCTTGATTTCTTCCTACATGTCTTGACTCTGAGCATGTAAGCGTTTGTTTACAGATTCTATTTGTTTGCACCTCCTCACATCGAATTTTTGGACTGAGTATCATTAAAGTGTGTGTGGGGGGGGTGGGGGGCTGCTGTGTCAGTTTCCCTAGGCAGTGGGAACAGTAGTACCACACTCGGGGCAGCTTAAACAGAAGCGCATTCTCTCCCCGAGCTGCTGGAGGCCGCAGGTCTGAGAGGGAGGTGTGGGTAGGACCCGCTTGCTCCTCCTGAGGCTGGGTGGGAGGATCTGTCCGTGCCGCCCCACCCCAGCTTCTGGGGGCCTGCGGGCAGTGCTGGCACTCACATCGTCTTCCCTCTGTATGCCCATCTCCTTGGCAAAATGGCATATTTCATAAGGACACACACTAGTCATGACGGATTAGGGCTCACCCCAATGATTCTCCATGCAAAGACCCTAGTTCCAAACAAGGTCATATTCACAGGTCCAGGAGGTTAGGACTTAAAACTTTTTTTTTTTTTTTGCGGGAGGAGGGGACAAAATTCAAGCCATAACAGGACGTGTGCCAGAATACAGTCTGTCAGTTTTTATGATAACCAGGAAGCATTTTCCACACCTCTCTCTTCCCACCCAGTGCATTAACATATATGCATAGTGAAGGAAGAACTGTTCCCTCCGTCTCAGGAGGTGCCCCGAAGGCAGGGTTTTAGGAACTTTAGGACAGCCTACCCCAGGAGCATCTAAATGCTTGTTTATCAACTGCCGGCTCTCATTACATCAAAGCGTGAGTTTGCTTGTCTCTCTGGGTTGTGTGTGCAGGGCATTCCAGTATCAGTTTTATCACTAAGAAAACCCCTTCCTCTCTAGTGCATTTAAGTGTTTGCCTCTCAAATATTAGATTTTATTCTGTATCAGTCAGGGTACTGCAGAGAAACAGAACCAGTGTGTGTGTGTGTGTATGTGTCTGTGTGTTTCTGTTAAGGAACTGGCCTGTGTGACTATGCGTGCTCAGTCGCTTTAGCTGTGTCTGACTCTTTACGACCCCAAGGACTATAGCCCATCAGGCTCCTCTGTCCATGGGATTCTCCAGGCAAGAATACTGGAGTGAGTTGCCATGCCCTCTTCCAGGGGATCTTCCCTGACCCGGGGATCAAAACTGTTTCTCCTGCATTTCCTGTGGGGGCTGGCAAATTCAGTCTGTAAGGTACTTCAGAAACTCAGGCAGGCTTTCTAGGGTGCAGTCTTGAGGCAGGATTCATTCTTTTCCAGGAAACCTCAGTTTTTTGCTCTAAGGCCTTTGACTGATTGGATGTGGCCTACCATATGATCTAGGATAACCTCCTTTACTCAAAGTCAGCTGATTGTAGGTGTCCACAGAATACCTTCACAGCAGTACCAGGGCTGTGTTTGCACCAACAACCAGGCCCTGTCACCTAGCCAAGTTGACACATGAAACCTTACCATCCTTGCAGGGAAGGGCTAGCTGGGAGATGGATTGTGACCTGCAGTTGAGAAAGACTCCTCCCCTTCCGTGACATGTTCACCACTGGCTAGATTTCACCTGCTTGGGTCCATTTGTTTGACTCTAGATTAATGGGAGGGGAAGGGGGTAATGCCTTCAAATACTGGTGTTGGCTCACTGGTAAAATGCCCCCATCTGGTGCATGTCAGGGTTGTGCGTCCATCTGTTTGTGTTGGAGGCTTTGTCTACAGGTAATTGGAGGGTGGGGTGAGAGGAGAGGGAGGGTGGTGATACACTGCATCTAAGTATGGGATCAGTGAGCACTCGGAGGGTCTCCTCCTGGGCACAGACTTGGACAGTACTTACCTGCCTCCCAGACGTTATTATACATGCCAGATATAAACAAACCATGTTGCTTTAGCACCTGGGGCTCTGGGGCTGCTAACTGTTACTGTGGGACACTGCAGCCTATTCTGGCTGATGCACCTTGCCCGTGGAGAAGGGAACTGGATGGCTGGGGGCCATTTGCTGAACTCTCTTGCACTTGTATCTTACCTGCCTCCTGAGAAACCTGTATGCAGGTCAAGAAGCAACAGTTAGAACTCGACATGGAACAACTGACTGGTTTCAAATTGGGAAAGGAGTATGTCAAGGCTGTATAATGTCACCCTGCTTATTTAACTTATATGCAGAGCACATCATGCAAAATGCCAGGCTGGATGAAGCACAAGACAGAATCAAGGTTGTCAGGAGAAACATCAATATCCTCAGATATGCAGATGACACCACCATTATGGCTGAAAGTGAAGAGGAACTGAAGAGCCTCTTGATGAAAGCTAAACAAGAGAGTGAAAAAGCTGGCTTAAAACTCAACATTCAGAAAACTAAGATCATGGCATCCGGTCCCATCACTTCATGGCAAATAGATGGGGAAACAATGGAAACAGTGACAGATTTTTTCTTCTTGGGCTCCAAAATCACTGCAGATGGTGACTGAAGCCATGAAATTAAAAGATGCTTGCTCCTTGAAAGAATAGCTTATTAAAAAGCAGA